AAAATAACTAGCAGACACTGTGCAGAAAATCAACATCGTTCAAAACTCCTCCTTCTGTTCTCTGATTGGCCCAGGTAAAATAAACTACAAGCAGACACTGCACAGAAAATTGATATCGTTCAAAGCCCCTCCTTCTGTTTGCTGATTGGCCCAGGTAAAATAAACTACAAGCAGACACTGCACAGAAAATCAACGTTCTGCTCTCTGATTGGTTCGGCTAAAAATCTGCCAGGGAAATCCATCTYAATGGGAGAAGTCCCAGACGGAACAGTGAAAGGAAACTAGAATTTAGCAGAGCTGCGTAAGAAGGCAAGGGCCAGGCTAGCAGATTAGTGGTTAGTGAAGGTAACTTTGTAGTTAGCTGTGCCCACCACTGCCCAATCCTCTTATTGACCTGTTGTTAAATGACCCTCATTAGAAGCAAAATGTGTCTCCATTTGCTTTCATTTATACTATTTAATTTCACAGCCTTTTGTTGCCCCTGTCACAACTTCTATATTTTTACCTCTTAGTTTCACTGCTCTATTCATCACTTTTTCCTTTTTTAACACAATTGCTAATTTTCTTGGCTCTCTTTTCTTTTTCAGTTTGGAAGGGGCCGCTTCCYGGGCCACTCACATTTGATTCTCTCACCAGTTGCAGCTGCACCTGCATGCAGCAGCGCTTTATGTGCTAAAAATAAAACAATGTACCAGCCGGTTCAGGCTTGAACTGATTTGAATCCTCACAAATCACCCTACCTGCATGGACAGATTTTAGACCGTTTGAAATCTTATTTATGGCTTACTGTTGTCAGTTCTTATAAGTAAAGTATTTACTGTTCAATCAGCTTTTTGTGGGTAAAAACGTTAGTACTTGAGATGCACCAGGTAAGTATCCTAGGTATGTACAACTGCATACCAAATAAAGTACCACAAGTTTGGACCCAGTATCTACAAGATAAGTACCACAGGCACTCGTCCAGAATGTACTCGTTAGTATAAATTCCACAAGTACATACCAGGTCAGTACAATTATGTGACCTGGTAAGTACCAGGTACAGTATTTATCAGGTTGTATTTTGTTTTGACACAGAACATTGTGTTGGACTCACATCATCAGACTCAAACAAATGACAGGTCATCTTGTACTGTCTCTTGTGGTCTTGACTTGATTCTGAGGTCTCCACAGTATCCTGAGAGTCCTGGTGAGACAATCTTTTCCTGGCCATCAGAACCACGGTGTTGCCCACGTCAGCTATGTAGGAGATGGTTTTCAGAGGATGGTCCAATACGATTTCCTTAAAATGAAACAACAGTTAGCAGTGCCTGTGTTACCTGAACCTGATGTAGAAAACATAATGTTACTGTGGATTTATAGTACAGACAGGGAGCGCACTGAGCCTGATGTAGAAATTCAAAGTCAATTTAAAAATCCTTTATTGATCCCAGAGGGAAATTAGGTGTTGTTGTAACTCATTTAACTAAAAACT